CATAGGAAAGCATTCCTAAGGCTTTCGAGATCCCGTAAACCGTATATAACTCCATTGACAAGGTATGTAGGGCTTTCGTTATACTTTTCGGCATGACTAGAATTCGAATAAACGTTTATCGAATTGTTTCATCGGATTCGAGTTATTTCACCTTCAACTCATAAAGATGCTTAGACCTGATCCTTTCTCATAGATTGCTTACTTAAGAGAATATCTATGAATTCTCGGTTTTCCTTGTTCCTTGCTTAAAAAGAACTAGAGCCTTTTTACTCGTTCTCTTTTCGACGTTCATATAAATCATGAATAATGTTCGCTGAAAAGTAACACTTACTTCAAAGGTACTCATAATACATAACTCTCACGTTCTTAGTACTTGTTGGCTCGTAGTTGAAAATTAAATACTTTAACGACAACCATGATAGTCGGGGAATAATGATAATAAGCCACTTCGACTCTTCTTAAAATACGTCTTTTAAGGTTAGTTTCGCATTGCACTTATATATGTATGTATTTACTTTCATTATCGATCCGCACTATAGTTGGCCGGGTATGACACCTATTGTGTAACCACTGATATGTTGGGATTACCGAGCTTCACATGGCCGGGTACGATTCTACCGATCCTTTATTATGGCCGGGTATGTTATGGATATTATAGCCCCACAAAGGGATTTATTATTATATAATGTGATATATTATAAGTAGCGATAGTGAGCGACGATTCCACGAGCATACATTTATATTCATGTTGAATTTTAGTTTCCTATCGAGGATAGTTTCAGAATTCAGATTGTCTCTATATCTCTTCTCTTGTTAATTACATTTTTCATGTTACACTTGTCGCCCTACATATTTCGTGCTGACGCCTTTTTATGCGTTGTGTTCATGCCCACAAATTCAGATAGACAGAGCGGTGTGCCTCCTCTGTAGGACCCCCGAGATCGGCGTTGGGTGTCGCACTCCACTTCTTTGAAGTTGCTGATTTTGAGTCCATAGGTATTATTACAGGTGTACATGTATAGTTTTGGGCATGTCGGGGGCGTTGTCCTGGCCTGTTGAGATTGTATTACACTCTTAGAGGCTTGCAGACTATATATATATATACACACACACCCTAGGCCAACAAGGCTGCAACAACAGTATAACAGTTATCCAGAAGGTTGATAGGGCCATACAATATATATATANGTTGGTTCGCTCAGGCCTTCGGGCATCGTGTGCCGGTCACACCTCCCAAGATTGGGTGTGACAAGAGCAAATTACCCAGAAATAGGAATTTGTTATGCGAATTTTAACAATCCAATTTATACGATTTAGTACCTAAATTTACTCCAAATGAGCTCAAATTTAAAACATAACCTCCAAATATCATCAAGAACAAACCCCCATCTTCACTTTGTCAAAACATAATAAATTGAACGAACATATTCTGCAATTAAGAAAAAGAAAGAGAAGAAACCCTAAGCAATAGTAAAATTAAAGCGCCACAATAGCTCACCACTGTAAAACATCATAAACTACCTTAAAATATATTCACAAACACTATACAAAATCAATGTTACCCGAAGAAGAAGAAGAAGAAGAAAAGAAGAAAAAGAAAGGAGAAAAATGACTGAAATTGTTTAAACAATGGGTACAAGATAAAAAAAATTAAAAAACGAGTATAGGTTAAATGGGGCGACCAAATAGGATGCCCCATGCAATTTTTACCTTTCCATCTCAATTAATATGACAATCTTTTACAAAAGAAAACATTACTCTATATATATATACTAGTATCTATAAACGTGCGTTGCACGTTATTAATGTCACATGATGGTTTAAATATTTATTTATATAAAGTAACAAAAAAATTTAATTAATGAGTGAAATTTTATATGTAATAATACAAGAATTATCTAAATGCCAGAAATATTATTACATTAGCATAATACATTAATTCAAAATGAATGGCCATCATTAGAATTTACACAAGTGATCAATTTTAGTCAGATAACTATGTATTGTAGTTTAAAGGTATCTAATATGATGGTATTTCATAGAACATTTCTTTATAGACGATATTGTTTTTTGTATATGTTCCCTTCTAGTGCTTTGGTTGCTCTGCCATAACCAGACCTCTTGTAGACGATATTGATATCTCTCTTGAAAGTGCCACATATAGTTATCCGTGCAAGAAAATATATCGTTGTAAATATAGTCCAATATTTATGATGTTTGTCCTTGTGCTTTATTTATTATAACTACAAAACATAAACATACTGAAGATGATTTTCACACAAATTTAAAAGGATATAATTTTATTTCGGAAGACGAAAATTGAATTTGGGGATAAACACATACTTAGAAGCACATTGACCAGTATCATAAGTTCTGCATGTATGACGTTATTGTCAAAACTTCTATATACCATATGTGTACTATTACATAAGCTATTCAACAAATCTAAATTTCCATGTGTATGTTTAATGACTAAATATTAGTTCATCTCTTGTTTTGAATATTTAATCTTAATTATAATTTTATTCACCATAATTTTATTTTCAAAGAGTAAAAGATTGATATGATCTTTCACTTTTGATCTTTATGTCTGTAGAATCATTAGTGGTATTGATTCTTACCAACCATTTTTTTCTCTTTCTCACACATGTATATTTTTAAATATTTTCTTAGTTGTTGTTTAATAATTGGGTATTTTTAAATATTGACAGACATATTTTTCTTCAAAATCAACCTATATGCAATGGAAAATCAATTTTAACTTAGTCTATTATATATATGGTGACACTAATATACGTAAGAAATAGTGAACTTGACAACAAGCACGTACGGTAGAAGACCATTTGGTGTTAAAGTATTTAAGTATTCTTCTTGATTGTAATTGTTGGTATCATCTTCTGCTAAGTCAAAACTGTAAAATATTTTTTTTGTTACCATAAAACTTAGTAATCAACCTTTTATTTAGTGACCAATATATTCATTTCTGCTAGCTAAGATAGCTCTTTAATTTCTATCATGTAATTTGCACAAATTGCGTTTTAATATAACGATGAAAATATTTTCCTTATTAAATGCACTACTATTTCCACTGGGATTGATAACCAAGTGTTATAGAAGAACCAAATCATCTTTTATTGGATGATCCTTTTCGTTTTCGACACGAAGCCAGAAGTCACTAAATGTTAGATCTGTTCTTACTTTTATATTTCTTGTCATTTGAATATTATTCAATTGATGCCATAAGTATAATTTTGGCAAGTTAGCTTTTACAGTTTCTGCTTTCGTCTATTTTGGAACTACTAATCGTACTTGACAAAAATCACCTCCCAAACTATTAATTTTTCACCAAATGGTTCATTGAATATCCAATATATCTCTAAAACTCTAGGCGATTGTTTCGATCGTTTGACGCTTAGCTAAAAGCGCTTCATCCCATATTATCACTTTTGCTTTCCTCATAAATTTAGTACTATTGCGCTGCTTTGATATCATTGTTATGGTTATTTCAATTAGTTGAAGAGGTATGTCAAATTTAAAGTGAGTTGTACGACCTTATAATAAAATCGTTGTTGGTATACCACTTGTTCTTATTGCTGACAATAGCATGCCTCTTGATCTAATAATTTGCAAGTAATGCATGACATAGGAATATCATTTCGATTCCGCCGGAGGCATATACAAAGGATAATCTCGATATACTAGAGTCAAATTTTTATAATATAGTCTTGAAAATTTATTCTTGTTAAGAATTTAGCTTTGATTGTGCTTCCCCAAACACTTGTATAGCCTTCTTAATGTTATACTAATCTTTATTACTTAATGATCTAACGTTTTTAAACTATAACCCTGAATAAAATTATGTACCGTAAGATTTTTTTAACTTAAAAAATAATATTACTCATATGATGTATTTAAAAAATAATTTAATTGGACTCTCTTGCTAAATAATTAAATGAAAGATTTGTTTATTTCGTTTTAACATAAAATATAATTTATTTTCTGTTGATTCAGATTCTTAATATTAGTTTATCTCATGTTTGAATATTTAAGAGTAATTATAGTTTTATCCATCATACATTTTATTTTCAAAGAGTAAAAATATCGATATGGCATTCCACTTTTAAATCTTTATGTTTGCAAAATTATTAGTGGTATTGACTCGTACCAACCTTTTTTCTTCTTTTTTTTCTTACACATTTATATTCTTAAAAATTTTCTTAGTTGTTCTTTAATAATTGGGTAGGAAAGCAGTTCAAATATATTATATTATATCATCCTAGGATTTTTTTTTCTCAATTTCAATGCTTTATGCAATCCGTATAATATTAATTTTATTTTTTTCTTGATAGGCAATATTAGAGAGTGGTAATGTATTGAGTTATTTATTAACGTATGTCTTTTTTTCTAAAAATTGGTTTCCTAACTATCCATCAAATCATTAATACATATTCACTTCTTCTTCTTTTTTGCCTTTAATTAGACACATCATTTTTTGACATGTTTATAGTATCGACAGAAGTAATTTTGAGATAATGAGATTGAATTCTAACACTACCATGATTGCTAACTTGTAGTATTATGTCTATGCCCGAAAGTAAATATACTACTAGAATTTCTAAAGGTAATCATGAAGAATTCCTAACGTGTAGTATTATGTCCTAAACGTAATAGAATTACAAGGCTAATGTCTAGAATTCCGGTTTTATCCTTTTACTATAAGTTATTATGCTTAGTATTATAAGGTTATTTTTGTAAACTGATATTGTATTCATGCATTTATAATATATATATATATATCACACACACATATGGTATGACCATTTACAACTTACAAGTTTTAAAAATGTTTAAGTTCAGTTAGATATTTAAAGCTTAAATATTGATGTAAAGTTTTATCTATCCCACTTTCAAATACTACTTCACTTTCTTCCACTCCGCAAATATAATAAACAAATCAAATTAACATCTTAAGCTTTTATCCAATCAAGTATCAGCATATATATATAAAACGAAGTAACACAATTCATTCATGATCTAAGGGCATTCCTCCTCCAATCATACCCTTCATGGTTAACTGTTACAACCTGTTCGCCTAAAGATGACATTACACATCGAAAACCAAACCATTAACCTCTAGATACTAGATATTTGGGATATTATAAATAATTAACTTTTGTATCGAAAATATTTCTTAAATTCCATAGCCAATCAAATATCATCATATGATTGAAAGGGGAGGGGGTGATCTTTATCCTTTGATAAGGAAACCTCTGAATAAAGTGCACTTGCCATTTATATTTAATGACAAAGCTTAAGAAAACGATAATTATTCGTCGTTTCTCTCCAGAAAACTTAACAAGAAGCCACTAACAATCCTTCTGGCTATAGGATTAGGAATATAGCGACATAATCGTCCATCCACATATGCTAGCATCCCTGACAAAACAAACTTTCCGATTCCCCATTTCCAGACAAAGCTCAGCTTTTGGTAACCACCCCCAGATGTGGGTACAATGGCTTTTTGATCATCAGCTTCAACTTTCTGCTTCCAATTTACTTTCCCAACTACTTTACTAGCTTGCTTCCGTAACACCCGAATTGCAAAACTCACAAAAAGGTGTTCAAACAAGGTCAGCACTGTTGGTACTAGTTTCCATTCCTAAAGCAATAAACATGAATAGAAGTGTCAAACGAACAGAATTAAAGAACAAATAAATACGTAAAAAGATACCTTCAAGATGAAAAAACATAGTGGAGAGGGCGAAATTCCTCAATTAACCAAATAGAAAGTGCTTTATGCAAAAGAGTGCCGGAAAATTGGAACAACTCAGTAATGAAGCATGGGATGACAATGTAAAGAAAAATATGTAGATGAAGCAGAATCTATCATATATGTCATAGATCCCCGTGAGATGTGCAGGTGATATTTTTGCATTTTGTTATCTGTAAGGATTCCAGCATTTCCTTTGTGCTGATGTTTTATAATACATACCCATTTAAAAAAAAATAAAAAGGGTCATATTAAATAATAAACATTCAAGAAGCAACTAAGATAGTAGTACTCACACGTTCCCCTCTAATGTGACGCAAGGAACGAGAAGCTATTGAAGGATCTCCTTTCAACAATGCTTTGCTCATAAGAAATCCCTTCACGCGTTCCACAATCTCCTCTATAAGAGAACTGCTTGGTGGTAGGTTCTTGAGGATAACCTTCAGAATATAAAGAACATAAAAGTCGTTTGCGATTCATGTTACACTTTTGAGATTGGCATCACTACATGTGCACTTAATTTGCTATGAAAAAAAAAATAGAGCTACGCAAGCAGTCAAGGCCCTCATGTATTCCTAATTTTAAAATAGTTCTGACAGAAAAGTTTACAGTCACATGAAGAAGGTAACTACAGCGCTAGAACTTTCCAGCGGTGACATATTTATAAATAGTTAAGAAAAAAGAAGAAAGACAGCTACATTTTTTCAATTTTGACATATTTCAAGAAAAGGGCAAACCACATACACACACTGAGAACATAATTCAATTACCTGGTTGTCAATGACTCTGACTGTCAGGTATTCTTGCTTATACAATGTATCTAACATGGCCTGCAGATACCCTTCAATGTAAAGCTGCATCACAACCGAAAGAGTCACTTATATGATGATTTAATCTGCTAGAAAAACTAGAACCACACACACACACACTAGATATGAAATGACACTGACTGCAGTGCATTGAAATATTCAGCACTAGGAGTTTTTTACAACCCCCCAAAACAACAGGAAAGACAGCACCGTTTAAACTGTCGTACTGGAAACAAGAGCAATAACATTGGATAATGTATCAGAACTAGCAACAGATATTCATTCAGTTAGCTTGGCAACAGATTCTCAGTCAGAATTTAAATGTTTCCTCAACAGCTATTTTTAAAATTTCCAAGCTCTTCAGAGGCCATCTAGCCAGATTATTTCATCCAAAAAGAAGACTTAGGACTCCGGTAGGCCATACTACAATTTTTAGGCCCATAGAAATGACGAGTCCTATCCTCTGCATAATTTGATGAAATGACTAGATATTCCATAATTTGCTAGGAAATTTAACTAAACAGTTTTACCAAAAAAAAAAAATTAACTAAACAGTTGCACCTGAAGTTAAAGTCATGGAGTAGTATATAGCTGATAATTTTTACTCCAACAACAGTTTGATTCACCAATATACATGTGTTATGCAGTTTAGAGTGTTGTTATTCAATGTCGTGCAGACTTTTTCCATAATAAAATTCATCCATTCCCCTTTTACGAGATAGATGAGTCATGAAGATCCAGGGGAAGTGGCCACCTAGACATGAGTGTCCAAAACCATGCAAGTTATGTCAATCAACACGACCACCTCCGCTGAGCCTTGACCAAACATACCTGAATGTTCCTCCGACGGCACATAAAATGGAGCATTGATTTATCCCACTCAAACAACATAAGTTTGCAACCATAAGCAGCTGTTATCTCAACAGATAAAAGTTGAGATGAATAAGAAATAATCACCACAAATGCATCATACCTCATCAACCCCAGGGCTTCGATCAAGCCTAATTTTTCGATCAGGGCCACCTTCCATGAAAGCACTCCCCAGTAACGTAGGTTCCATTGCCAATTTAAGTATTCCTTGATGAAAACCATACACCTGGAAAGCACGCATGTAATTAAGTTTGGATGACAGAGCCAAACTACAACCTAAGACAGTGCCAAACTCGTAACTAAATCAAGGTTTAATTGAAAGTTTCAAGTTTGGAACTTAGTAGTTGCAATATTTGGCATGCTATTAGATCAGATGTTCTTACCATTCCATTTAACCCGCTAGCTTCTGCTCCTTTCAGAACCGAGTCTGATATTTCAGTGACAGCAGCAAAAAGGATATTTGATCCTGCTGACTTTAACTGCATAGGAAATAGCTTATGCGGCACCATTGACAATTGCAAAGCAACCATGACAACAAAATTAACTATAGAACTTACAGTTTTCCCTAGATCACCGAAGTATCTTTTTGTTCCAGAAAACCCTTTACCATCAATACATTTACTAATGAGTTTGAAAGTACCTATCACCCAAAATGCAAGCAAAGATTTCAATAAGGCAACATACACAAATAAATGGGAACGTCCTACTTGCCAGTAAATTCTAAGAGAAGAGACCTGCAGCAAAGATTGTCAAGCTAATTCTTCATATAAAGCAAAAGTGGACCGGAAAAGCAGCCGATATCATCACTTTCATGAAAAATGGGTATAAAGTACTGTGTAAAAGTCCTGACATCCTATTTAATCTGTCCGCACTAAAAATTCAAATTTGCGAACAGTTTTATGGTTTGGAAACTCTCCTTGACTTATATTTGTTCTAGTAATCAGGTTGGATTAAGTTACAAATTATCTCATTAAGTATTTCAAATTGAAAGTACTTTTTCTGTCACAGGCGCTTAAGAAAATGGGGTTAGTAGTCCCTGACTTTGCCTTGATAGACAGGCTACTTTCATTTTCCTGCCTAATTTGCAACTTAGAAGATAATTTTGCTAAACAAATTTCAATTTCTGACAAGATCTATGTTGTACAGAAACCACACCCAACACGAGAAGATCATTTCTGCTAAGAAGCAAATCTTGCTAAGGCATGTTCCCCAAAATAAGAAGATTGTAATATTCAAAGGTCTCATTAAAGTGCAAAATATTCTTAATTTCCACATGAAGTATTTGCTTCCCGGTACTTCAATGCACGGCCAAATTCGAAAGATCTGCCACAAAAGACCCCATAAGAGCACCAATGCATCAAAAGAGATTAGCTACACAACATGCTTGTCCATGAAACCACAGGTTGTGTAACTCAGCAATACTCATCTAAAATAATGCACCAAGCAGTAAGCAACAGATTTGGGAGTTTCCAAGGGCATACCAATGGTGAGTCCAGGAAGATTAAGAAGCCCACTAGAAGGATCAAAGAAAACGTCGAGAGATGATGAAGCTAGGTCATCAAAAATAGAAGCAAAAGCTGGTGGCAGCAGGGGACTTCCCTTTGCAATGTAGATTGCTCTCATTGCGTACCTAGAGATAATGACAATTTTCAGCTGCTATTCAACAATAATTATTGAGAGCATAGCCATACTAGTAATAACACAGGCTTACCAGGAATAGTGTTGGGCACATTTAATTGACAACTCCCGGAAAGTGACCAATGCATGAGTTACAAGGATGCCATTGAGCTCTACTATCATATTTTTTATGGTAGGTATCTAAAATGCAGATATAGGAGAAAGAATGTTACACCACAGGTAAATCAAGAACAGACCTTTACTTAAATAGTAAGTGAACAACTGTACAGTATATGAATATTCCATCCACAATTTACAGTACACTCTTTCTATCCTGGCAGAATTTGACATCCTCCTAGTAGTAATATGATTGCAACTTTCAGAAGTTTCATGAATTCAACTTTATTTAACCAATCAAATTTTAAACTTTCACGCGATGTGTTCTGTCTGAAACTAACTAGTAATGCGATGTACAAGCCAAATGAACATATTAAACTCAATCCCGCCCGAATGGTGTCACGTAAATGAGACAGAGTTAGTACTATGTAACACACCTTTATAACACTGTGAAGTAAAGATCTTAGCGTCTCCTGCGTGGAGCTATAGCTGGCATAAGATTCCCCAGGAAGAAAGCTTGCCACAACCTTCAGCAACATTAATAGGAAAGAAAAAGTGAGTTAATTCTATGACTTACATTTCCTCCTCACTGTAAAAAGAACTTCCCTGGGGGAGGAGGGCATAGTGAAACCAAAGTGCTGTAGACACCTTAACAGGATGGATCTCAAAATGATCAATGTAATACTTTTGACTTGGAGTATTTGTATCGCTGAGGGACGTTCTCCAGAAAGGAACAATTCTCATTAATGTCTCTTCATCGAGGTTGAAATCAAGCCGCTGCAAAGAAAATTCAGTGGTATAAAGATGGAACAAACAGGATAAGTATAACAAAAATATGACAACGAGCGAGTCACACTTCAACTTCCTATTGATCTTGGAACGTGTCCCTGCCTAAACAAAAGCATAACTAAGTAACAAACCAGTTTCCTGACTAATAGTAGAAAAATTATGGGGAAGGCCTCTGAAGAATTGAACATCCTGCCAAAGTTTCTGTTAGCATGATAACTGATTTAACAGGTAATGTTAAAGAGGTAATACACATAAAAAATACTACAAACAACTTTACTTCAGATGTTTCCTAGTTTTGTTAAAGTTTTCTGACACACTCCTCATCTATTACAAAGGTAGTTTTGTTAAAGTTTTCTGACACACTCCTCATCTATTACAAAGGTAGTTTTGTTAAAGTTTTCTGACACACTCCTCATTTATTACAAAGGTAGTTTTGTTAAAGTTTTCTGACACACTCCTCATTTATTACAAAGGTAGTTTTGTTAAAGTTTTCTGACACACTCCTCATCTATTACAAAGGTAGTTTTGTTAAAGTTTTCTGACACACTCCTCATCTATTACAAAGGTAGTTTTGTTAAAGTTTTCTGACACACTCCTCATTTATTACAAAGGTAGTTTTGTTAAAGTTTTCTGACACACTCCTCATTTATTACAAAGGTAGTTTTGTTAAAGTTTTCTGACACACTCCTCATCTATTACAAAGGTAGTTTTGTTAAAGTTTTCTGACACACTCCTCATCTATTACAAAGGTAGTTTTGTTAAAGTTTTCTGACACACTCCTCATTTATTACAAAGGTAGTTTTGTTAAAGTTTTCTGACACACTCCTCATTTATTACAAAGGAGAATTCAGGGTTTGGCATCTTTACCTATATGCAGTTGATTAATCTGCCAAACGTATTGAAAAATTCATTAGCATGCACTATTATTCTTCGGTATGAGGAACTCAATACCCTTCCACCAAAATAACCCCATTGTAGCATTCACATGAGCATTTTAATATGAGATAATAGACTTGCTCTAATACCATATGTAAGAATATTAGCACCCAACTCAAAACTTTAAAGCAGTAAGTAGAGTATAAGACCTTTCTAAATCCTTTTGGGAACCCTCATACAACCCATCTGAGAACTATATAAATCAACAGAATTGTCCAATTGTCCCATTAGTTCTTGCCCTTTAAACCCACAAAAAAAAAAAAAAAAAAAAAAAAA